GGCATCAAAGGCCTATTAAAGCTGTATAGTGGAGGCTTTGGCGAAACACATGTTATTGCAACAGGGAAGGCAAGAGAAGACTTTGCTTTTTTTGGTCAGACAATGCCAAACCACCAACTGCACATGTGACGGTGGCATGGCTCTGTGGAAAAAGAGGTGCTAAACGGGGGGATCTGCATGCCCAACATATTCCTATCCTGAAAAACCTGAAATATTAAGCTGCACATTTTCTACATTAAGCAAAAATAAGACTAAATCTTTTAGCACTATAGCAAGTGGTCCTCCCAGTTCTGAAACACTTATGGTTGATAGACTAGACGACACATTGGTAATCCTCCCCCAACTTTTGAAAATTATTGCTGCCACCCCCCTCCCAAAAATCCCCACTTCTAAGTCTAAAATTTATAATTATTTCCACATTTGAATATAATATGAATATAATGTTGCTATGCAGTATTATATAGTCAGAACACAAACTAACCACACCACTAACATAGTGAGACACCATGGGAAGTCCCCTTACCTCTCCCCTTTTGTTGGAAGGCCCCCCCTCACAAAGCCGAATGGAAACACAGAGAGGAGTTTACCTTTTCAGCTATCAAGAAGTCACAGCGTAGAGCTTCTCTGGTGCAGATGGCCCCCAGGAGAAAGACAAAGACCAGATACAGGAACCACCTGTGGGTCACCAAAAGTACAGCGCAGAATTACTAACAACTATTGAGTCACAACAAGTGAATGTCTGATAGCGATGTGTTTTTAGAGCGGGTTACTTTTGTTTTCCAGTGAATGGAAAAGAAAAACCCACTCAGTGTACCGAGAAAACCCACAAGAGTAAAATCTAAACTTATAGGATTAAACCTTTCTGAAAGATCAATCCACCAAATCTATCAAAGGTTTTTCCTGTACTTCCTATTTCTTAATGTACAATCACTGTAGTCATAGTTAATCTAGTTTAAGTATTGCGTACTGTGGTGTGTAAATTTTTCTATTGTTTTTGTATGTAAGTATACAGTGCCATTAAAGAGTATTTCTCACCCTTTCCTGAGTTGTTGCTTTTTCACATTTATCAAATCTCAGTGTTTCAGATCATCAAACAAGTTTTAATATTAGAAAAAGATAATCAAAGTAAATACAAATTGTAGTTTTTAAATGATGATTTTATTTATTAAGAAGAAAAAGCAAGCCAAACCTACCTGGCTGTGTGTGCAAAAATAATTTCCCCCCCTCTTAAATCAAGAATTACCTGTGATTAACCACATTTTTTGGAAAGTTGAGATCAAATTCAATAGGCAAAATGAATTAGATTAAAAGATCTCAAAAAGCAGCACATCATGCCACGAGCTAAAGAAACTCAAGAACAAATGAGAAACAAAGTCGGCGACATCTGTTCATCCAGAAAGAGTTTCAAAGTCATTTTCTAAGACTGTCTGTGGTTCTCCGGTGAACCACAGAGAGAGCCGTTATCCACAACTGCAGAAAACTGAGAACAGTGGTGCATCTTCCCAGAAGAGGCGGACCTACTACAATTACTCTGAGATCTCATCAACGACTCATCCAGGTGGTCATAAAACAACCCAGAACAACATCTAAAAAACTTCAGGCCTCACTCGCCTAGTCATGGTCAGTGTTTATGATTCAACAATAAGAACACCACTGCTGGCCAAATAGAACACAAAGGCTTGTCTCACATTTGCCAAAAATCATGATCTCCAAGACTTTGGAGAAAATTTTCTGTGGAGTGGAG